TGAGGTAAAAGGATACCAGGTTTATAAACTGTCACTAAACAATGGGTTAGTAAATAAAAATGATTTTATTTACTAACATTTCATTTACATATTTAGTGGGGGAAGTAGCTCAGTTTGTAAAGTGCTTGTCTAGTATGCACTGGTTTACATCACCAACATAAACCTGGGAGAGTGGTGCATGTCTGCAATCCCAGCACACCATGGAAGGTGGAGGCAAGCTCCTTACATTACATATTAAGGTGGAGAATTCAAGGTCAGCCTAGGCTACCTGGAACCTTCCAGCATATATAAACTGATCTGTTATATTGTTTCAATACGTAATTAAAGAAAACACAAAAGTTGATGTTCATATCAGTAAACATTTTCTCAATGTTACATCATTATGATGAAAGCATTCAAAATCCTTTCATTTAGCTACAGTCACCTACTGCTCTGTGAGGAAGGAGGAATCTCCAGCCAGCAGCAGAGGAAACAGGATGGGGAATACAGAGCAAAGGTAACCAAGCCACATAAAGGAATACAGATTAAAAAATATTAAGAACTACTTAGGGCTGGATGGTGGTGGTGCACACCTTTAATTCCAGCACTTGTGAGGCAGAGGAAGGTGGATCTCTTGAGTCTACAGAGCGAGTTCTAGGACAGCTAGGGTTACAGAGTAAAGCCCATGTCATTTTTTGAGCTGATGGCCCAAAGAAAAACCACATAGTTTTAAGACGTGTAGCCCAGAATAGCTTCTTCCAACATGCATAGTAGTCTTAGGACTTGAACTGCCACATGCCTGCAAAGCTCCCCCCACCAGCAAAAGAGTCTATTGTCTAGGATGGTCTTGAACTCCTGACTCAGACAATCTTTCTACCAGTCTACCGAACAGATGAGTAGAAGCTCCTTCCTAGCAAGTTCAACTAACAATGCGAGGAGGATATTTTAAATGCTGGTACAGCATGTTCTGTAGGTCTAATCCCCAGCAATGCAAACCAGTTTTTAAAAGCTGAGTGTAGTGATGTTTATCTGTAATCCCAGCATTTGGGAAGACTAGGGGAAAAAAGACCAGGTGCTCAAAGCCAGTGGGATACATATAAAAATCCTGTCTTAAATTGAGCATGGTGGTACACATCTTTAATCCCAGCACTTGGGAGGCAGAGGCAGGTGGATCTCTCTGAGTTCCAGGTCAGCCTGGTCTATAAAGTAAGTTCCAAGACAGCCAAGAATATTACAGACAAACCCTCTTCAAAAAAAACAAAAAACGGGGCTGGAGAAATGGCTCAGCGGTTAAGAGCACTGACTGCTCTTCCAGAGGACCCGGGTTCAATTCCCAGCACCCACATGGTAGCTCACAACTGTCTGAAAATCCAGTTCCAGGGCATCTGACACCTTCACACCTAGGCACATAAAATAAAGATAAATAAGTCATAAAAAAAATTTAAAAAAACAAAAAAAACCCAAAAAAACAAAAAATTAAAAAATGCTATTAGTAGCTGGGCAGTGGTAGCACGTACCTTTAATCCCAGCACTCTCTGGAGGCAGACAGGCGGCTTTCTGTGAGATGAGGCCAGCCTGGTCTATCAAGTGAGTTCCAGGAGATGCTCCAAAGCTACAGAGAAACCTTGTCTCAAAAAAAAAAAAAAAAAAAATCAACAACAAAAATAAATGAAAAGCAAACAAACAAAAAAACATGACTGTTGGGAGCTGTGGACCCCCAGACCCTGAATTTCCCATAAACAACTTGTTATGCTTGCAGCTGCTCTCTGACCAAAACAACTTGTTTTTCTATTTGCAGTTGCTCTGAGCAAGAGACCCTCAGGAGTTCTTGATGGCAGGGGAGTGGTTTCTGGCCGGTTTTGCTGGGTCGGCGTGGCTATCAGTTAAGGATCCCTATATAAGCTGCCCTGAACACAATAAAGGAGGCATTTTTGGGGAATTCAAGGAGGACCCATTTCTCTGTGTGTATGTGTGTCAATCTCCAAGCCCTTGCCAGCTCACAAACTGTCTGGTAGTGCAGGCTGTACGCTACAGGCATAGTACCGTAGCACACAAAGTACAGGTGCTACAGGACCATAGTACACATAGTAGTACGCACGTTACACATGACAACTATTAGCTCTGATTCCCACTTAAGCCCACTTTAAAACATGACTACTGAGGGCAGACAGTGGCGGCACACACCTTTGAGCCCAGCACTTAGGAGGCAGAAGCAAGCAAATCTCTTGAGTTCAAAGCCGGCCTGGTCTACATAGCTAGTTCCAGGACAGCCAAGGCTACATAGAAAAAGTGTATCGTGAAAAAACCATACAAATGACAACTAGCATGTGTGACATGTGCAGCCAGAGGCTAACTTTACATATTCTCCAGGAACCATTCTTCTTTTTTCCATATCTCTCATTGAGCCAGAGCATCAAGGATCCAACGTCTTCATCTCCCCAGCACTGGGGTTACAAATGCCTGCAACACCACACTCAGTGTTTTTCACAGTGGGTCTGTGGATCAAACTAAGGTTCTTACAGTTGTAAGACAAACCAATTTTCTGATTCATCTCCCTCCTAAGACCCCTGGCTAGGTTGTTCTATAAAGTACTAGCATTGACCGAGCTAAGGAAGCCTCATGTTGGCTCATTTTGCTAGAATGAGGCAGTTTACGCATATTAAAATGGAAGGCTACTATTTTCTGAAGTACTTCAGTTTATAACTATAATTCAGACACCTATTATTATGTATGGTTTATCTTTTTATTGTTTCTTCTTTTATCAAAACTTGTCACAGTTAGGAACCCAGAGGAAGTAAAAAAAAAATTCCCACAAACATTTCTCCTGGTTCCTGAGTCCTCCCTCATCCCCCTCCCCTTCCAAGGGTTTGAAGTAATCCCTGGATACACATGATCATCTCCCCCCACCCTCAGCCTTCTTCCCAGCAATAAATACAGGTGACCGTGATTCAGTGAAACCACAACTCATTTCTCTATCTTGAGTGTCCCAAGAGGACCAGAAGGGGCAAAATAAGTTTAATGACCATCCCCTCTTAACTGTGTGGAAGTTTCTCCCTCAAGGAATGGGAGAAATGCAGCAGCTCTGGAAAGAAATGGGGAAGAAAAGGTTGAGATGAGAAGGAAGAGGATATTCTCCAGCAACCTGAATCTTGATCCACTCGTCCCTCACCAGGTAAGGGATGGTCCCAGTGTATCAGTGGAACGGAGAAAGGAGAGGGTTGAGGGGCAGGGGGATGAAAAGGGTAGGTAGTGGGAAAGAGAGAACAAGGAAGAAAAAAAGGAACTCTAAAGTTCACTGCCCTCATTTTCTTCCAAGAAATGGCATTAACACAAGAGGCATGAATAGACAAGGTCTGAGGAAAAGTCAGAGACCCTAAGGAAGGGAAAGAGAAAGACAAGGCCCCTAGGGACTTCACAAATGAAAGTGCTCCAGTTACAGCAACTAGGAATGAGGGGGAAGCTTGAAAACACACAGAAGGAAAGACTAGGTCATAAGAGGAATTCAGAGCCCTAGGACAGCCCTGTCATGCTGCCCCGATGTTGGCAGAATCTGAGTCTTGGGATTGATTAAAAAGGTGAACTCTGAATAGGGTCCAAGGCAAAAGAAAAGGTAACTCAATACCACCACACCCCTCCTCCCAACTCAGAACAAGTTCCTTGGGTTATCGAAGATGAATACTCCAGTCAGAGGCCACACTGATGCCAGGTTTACGCAGTATCAACACAGAGGTTTCAGGGTCGTGTTGGAAGGACAGGCGACTTTCAGGGGATCCTGTGAAAGGAAGACAAGCACCACAGTCAGCAATAGGCTACTTCTCCATAGCAAGGTTCCAACTTGCTTCTCTTTTGCCATCCCAAGGCCAGACCAATCACTAACCTTTGGTCTGGAGCACCACAGCTGCTGGTTTTCCAGCCCCCATTATGACCACTCGCTCAATCCAGACAGGTGTCTCAAGGTGGCCTTTGGGATCTGCTGAACTAGAGGCAATAAAGGAAATGCAAATTGGAGAAGTTGTCAGGAAGATTATTCAAAGCAAAGTCCAAAGCTGAGAAAAGCAAAGTAAACCTGAACATCCCTGAAGCCCAGGCCCATGTAGAGGGTACCCCATTACCTAGAGACAAGTGTGTTGCCAGAGAATGAGAATCGACGAAACAGGAACTCATGGCGAGTCTGATAGCTAAATGTGTGTCCATCATCTAGAAAGAGCTCTCCTTGGGCAGTACCCTGAGCAGAAAGAGAGGTACGAACTTAAGTCAAGGAGGGAGTGAAGGACAGATCCCAGGGGACTGAGTTCTAGAACACAGGCAGAGGGTTGAAGTAGCTCATTCCCTGGAGACTCACCTGGGGACCTAGAGCAACAAAGAGAGTGATAGGATCATCTTTCATACAGTCTGAAGAGCGCCGCACACGCATCCATCGAGGCACAATTGTCCCGCCACGTTGGAACACAGGGATCTAAGGCAAAAGTACTGCAGTGAAGCACTACTCCTTTAGGCCTTTCGGCATCTTCTCCTCTTGCTCTTTTGGGCCCCCAAGGTCATTTGGACCTTGAATTACACATTTTCTCCCCTTCTGGAAATATACAAGCAAACAGGGATAGCAGCTAGGCAGGCATACTCACACTGTTCAGAGTTACTGGCAGGTACAGGGTCTGGGGACCATGATGCTTCTGATAGCTTTGAATGTCATACCATACCTGTGGATGACAAGACATTGAATTACTTAATGCACAGGAGTTCCATCCTGTTTGCTTATTTGCCTACGACATCCTGCAACTTACCTCTCCTTGGCCAGGCAAATAGACCTGCACACCGTGGGCCCCAGCATCTGATACAGGGTGAATCAGGAGTGCATCCCCTAAAACATACAAGAATTAACATGTATCTGAGAGCACTGCTGCCAGTCTAGAGAGCATTAAAGTATCTTTCTGCTTCAGGTCCAGTCACAGTTACTCCACAACTTTCTTAACCTTCATATATACACATCCCACAAGTTCTTTTTAGGAGGAGGGGAGATTCAAGATAAGGTTTCTCTGTGAAGCCTTGGCTTGGCTGTCCTGAAACTCTATAAACCAGACTGGCCTGAAACTCAGAGATTTACCTGCCTCTCCCTCCTGAGTACTGGGATTAAAGGCAAACACCATCACCACCCAGTCACAAATTCTTCTGAAGTCTAAACCCAACTCACTACCAACTGTCCTCCCATTTCTCACCAAGCAGGAACTGATCCTCTATACTGAAGGTAGTCACATCCTGAGGATAGTGTACCCAGAGGGGCCTAGAAAGGAAGACAGGAAAGGACAATATTACCTTCTCAGACATAGGTCAAAGACATTCCTCTAAGAACTAGCAATAAATACACTGGGAGGCTGGGCAGTGGTGGCAGCACTCAGCAGGGAGAGGCAGGCTTATTTCTTAGTTCAAGGCCAGCCTCGTCTACAGTGTAAGTTTTAGGACAGCCAAGACTACACAGAGAAACCCTGTCTCAAAAAAACAAAAACAAACCAAAAACAAACAAACAAAGAACCGCACTGGGGAGAAACCCAGGACCTTTCAGCCAACTGAATGTTGCAGGCACACAACTCCACCAGGTCATTTTACTTCCTATCTTACTTCTGTAACTCCACTCTTTTCCAACTGTTCTCTATCTTTTAGTGGCTTCCTCAAATACTTCAGTGACACCTAGCTGGCAAGACCCTTTAGGATCAGAGAAGTGTCTTCTCCATTCACAGTGCCAACCTCTCCTCTCAGTTCCTTCCCAAGGCCCACAGAATTTTTGTTTTTATTTCTGGCTTGTTATACTTGGGAATTTTGGCACCTGCAGTGTCCTTTCTGTGTGATGTTCTTCCTTGGGGTGACATCTGCCTCACTCATTGTACAGGTCCATCTTAAGACGCTGTTTTCTCAAGAAGGCCTTTTGTGACCTACTGACCTTTATCAAATGACATCACTGCTGGCAGTTTTCTTCAGATGTTCACTACCATTATTCACTTACTTCCCTTAGCCTTCCCTTGACTCTCTTTTTAAGACAGGGTCTTGCTATTCAGCACAAGCTGGTGTTAAACTCTTGTACCTCCTACCTTAGCCTCCTTTAGCACAACTTTTGATTGGATGAAGAGCCACTTGTCATGCATGTGGTGGTCAGAGAACAACCTGCATCTTATAGGAGTCAGTTTTCTCCTTCTATCACGTTCTGGCAGTTGAACTCAGTTCCCTACATCTGATGGTAAGTGCTTTTACTTTACCCACTGGGCCATTTCATTAGCCTCTTTCTTTCTTTTTCTTTGGTGGCACTGGGGACTGACTGAACTCATGGCTTTGGATATACCAGGCAAGTGCTCAAGTACTCTATCACTGAATTACATCCTTGGATCTCCCTTCCACATTTCATATTCAAATCAGATCTTACAAACAAGGCTCTGGAAATGGAAAGAAAGAGGCCCAGACACCCAAACTGGACCTCGTTATCTCCCAGTCACTCTGCCTGACTCCACAGATGCTGCTGACTAATTTACCTTATGACAGGAAGTCCTTCCTGGTGAGCTTGATAGAAGAGGGTATACCAGAAGGGGAGCAAAGAGTACCGCTGGTACAAGGCATCTCGGATTGCATCTTGGTATTGAGGTGCTAACAGCCATGGTTCTCGCCGCCCAGTGTCCAAGTGGGCATGAGCCCGAAAGAATGGCTGGTAGGCACCCATTTGGTACCAGCGCACAAGCAGCTCTGGTTCTGGGTTCTTGAAGAAGCCACCCACATCCGCTGGGAGAGGAGAAGTAGCAGGTTGAAGAAGGGCAAAGAAGAGGTACTGGCAGCCATCCATATATATATTCTGTTCATT